GTTTTGTCATCAGATGATGTTGCCTCTAAGAAATCCTTTAACTATAATAGGTGCAAAGACACAGTTGGGCTCACATGTTTTAGAAAAAAAAATACATCAGGCCTGTTGTGCTAACTAGCCACAGATTTTTGCACTCCATCTGTTGGGAGTGCAGCAGAGGAAAGGCAAGCCAAATGGGCGGGTAAACTGTTTCATAGAGAATGGTGGAGCTGACTGAGGAGTATGTTACATTCATAGAAAGTAGTGTGCAAACCTGATGCCAAGCTCATGTTACATACCTAACGATAAGCTGATGGGGACAATGCCTATCGCCATGCTCATGGTTACATATGTCCCTTAGTTTGCCAGCCCTCCATCTTGTTGAAAGCGGTATTAGTATATTAAACAGCTGTTGTCGTTTTTAAAACAATTTATTTTGGTTACTTATAATTTGTTAGAGTATTGAAAATGAAAAACTTGAAATATCTACTTTAGTGTTCACACTCTGTGCAGTTTATTTTCCATTTATACTATTTACCTTATACACTGCTGATTTAGCAGTTGTCAAGCTAAGACCAAGCAATACCACATCTAAAACTTGGTATACTATTTTGATTTCAGTCAGTGTAGTTCTAATGGATTCTTAGTGATACTATGACTTTGCTTTTAAAAAAGCCAACAATGAAAAAAACTTGAGTACCACCTGAATGCAGCCCATAAGCAGGATTCAGCAGAGATTACTGCAAGGGACGTTACTTCTTTAAAAAATCCCTGTTTCCATAGAAATTTTTATATAGGCCATGGAAACTTTTCTAATGATATCAGGTTACACACAAAAAATATTAAAAATAAGCCATAAAAGGTTTACATATGTCCCTTTGTAAAGGCAAACCAACAGTGCTCTTCAGCATAAGTGCTAACGTTGCTGTAGGATATGGAAACCTGGAGGAGTCACATGAGTGAACATTTCACTTGTGTAGAATGCTCAGTTCTCTACCAACCCTGTTCCTGAAGTTGAAATCTACCACTAAATGTATGGTTCATATGGATTCTATAACAATCATCACATCCTAGCCTAAGCTCCTCGCAGCTCTTACCCTTTTGGGGGGACCCGGGTGAAGGATACATTTCTGAAGCTTTGTTTTACTTCTAGGAAGGTGCACACTCCTGGGTGCTCCATAGAATTTGGATGAGTGCAGTGTGTAGTCCCATTTGCCATGCCTATTTCTGCATGCCATCCCCACTGTTCACTTCCACAGATGCCTGCAAAGAGCTACCACAAAAGGCTTTTCCACAGTTTATATGTAGAAGTTGGTCAGGGAAGATGATGTCAAGTGTAAAAATATAATTAGGAAGGCCCAAAAAGAATTTGAAGAATAGCTAGCCAAAGACTCAAAAAGTAATACCAAAATTTATTTTAAGTACACAAGAAGCAGGAAGCCTGCTAAACAACCAGTGGGGCCACTGGACGATCGAGATGCTAAAGGAGCACTCAAGGATGATAAGGAAATTGTGGAGAAACTAAATGAATCCTTTGCATCGGTCTTCACGGCTGAGGATGTGAAGGAGATTCCCAAACCTGAGTCATTCTTTTTAGGTGACAAATCTCAGGAACTGTCTCAGATTAAGGTGTCATTAGAGGAGGTTTTGAAACAAATTGATAAACTAAACAGTAATAAATCACCAGGATCAGATGGTATTCACCCAAGAGTTCTAAAGGAACTCAAATGTGAAATTGTAGAACTACTAACTGTAGTCTGTAGCCTATTATTTAAATCGGATTCTGTACCAATGACTGGAGGATAGCTAATGTGATGCCAATTTTTAAAAAGGGCTCCAGAGGTGACCCCAGCAATTACAGGCCAGTAAGCTTGACTTCAGTACCGGGCAAACCGGTTGAAATTATAGTAAAGAACAAAATTGTCCGACACATAGGTGAACATAATTTGTTGGGGAAGACTCAACATGGTTTTAGTAAAGGAAAACCATGCCTCACCAATCTACTAGAATTCTTGGAGGGGGTCAACAAGCATGTGGACAAGGGGGATCCAGTGGATATAGTGTACTTAGATTTTCAGAAAGCCTTTGACAAGATCCCTCACCAAAGGCTCTTAAGCAAAGTAAGCTGTCATGGGATAAGAGGGAAGGTCCTCTCATGGATTGGTAACTGGTTAAAAGATCAGAAACAAAGGGTAGGAATAAATGGTCAGTTTTCAGAATGGAGAGCGATAAATAGTGGTGCCCCCCAGAGGTCTGTACTGGGCCCAATTCTAATCAACATATTAATAAACGATCTGGAGAAAGGGGAAACAGTGAGGTAGCAAAATTTGCAGATGATACAAAACTATGTAAGATAGTTAAGTCGCAGGCAGACTGCAAAGAGTTACAAAAGGATCTCACAAAACTGGGTGACTGGGCAACAAAATAGCAACTGAAATTCAGTGTTGATAAATGCAAAGTAATGCACATTGGAAAACATAAATTAAACTAAACTAACTAACTATATATATATAATGGGGTCTACATTAGCTGTTACCACTCAAGAAAGAGATCTTGGTGTCATTGTGGATAGTTCTCTGAAAGCATGCGCTCAATATGCAACGACAGTTAAAAAAGCGAACAGAATGTTGGGAATCATTAAGAAAGGGATAGATAATAAGACAGAAAATATCATACTGCCTCTATATAAATCCATGGTACGCCCACACCTTGAATACTGCATTCATATGTGGTTGCCCCATCTCAAAAAAGATATATTGAAATTGGAAAAGGTTCAGAAAAGGGCAACAAAAATTATTAGGGGTATGGAACAGCTGCCATATCAGGCGAGATTAATAAGACTGGGACTTTTCAGCTTGGGAAAGAGATGACTAAGGGGGGATATGATAGAGGTCTATAAAATCATGACTGGTGTGGAGAAAGTAAATAAGGAAGTGTTATTTACTCCTTCTCATAACCCAAGACCTAGGGGTCACCGAATGAAATTAATGGGCAGCAGGTTTAAAACAAACAAAATGAAGTATTTCTTCACACAACTCACAGTCAACCTGTGGAACTCCTTGCCAGAGGATGTTGTGAAGGTCAAGACTATAACAGTGCTGAAAAAAGAACTAGATAAGTTCATGGAGGATAGGTCCACCAATGGCTGTTAGCCAGGATGGGCAGGGATGGTGTCCCTAGCCTCTGTTTGCCAGAAGCTGGGAATGGGCGACAGAGGATGGGATCACTTGATGATTACCTGTTCTGTGCATTCCCTCTGGGGCACCTGGCATAGGCCACTGTTGGAAAACAGGATACTGGGCTAGATGGACCTTTGGTCTAACCCAGTGTGGCTGTTCTTATGTTCTTCACTTCTCACAGTTTTTGGTAGAACCAACTGAGGATGAGAAAGTAAACCAACATTTTTCCCCAGCTAAGGATGCAAAATGCACTTGTGCAATCAGTTTTTGCATTCCTGCACAGTCACACTAACTTGACTGCTTTTAGGTCTTATGAGGCTGCATTACTTAGTATTAGTGGAATGAGACAGGGACCAAACCCAAACAAAAAGGCAATTCACACTTCTGAATAAGACACCCATGATTTATTAATATAGTACATTAATAATTACTGTAACATGGGAAGAAGTGGGGGCAAAAGACAAACTCGAGTTTATGGAGGAGATGGTATGATGGGATAACATGATTTTGGCAATTAATTGATCTTTAAATATTCATGGTAAATAGGCCCAATGGCCTGCGATGGCATGTTAGAAGGGGTGGGATCTGAGTTACTACAGAGAATTCTTTCCTGGGTATCTGGCTGGTGAATCTTGCCCATGTGCTCAGGGTTCAGCTGATCGCCATATTTGGGGTCGGGAAGGAATTTTCCTCCAGGGCAGATTGGAAGAGGCCCTGGAGGTTTTTCGCCTTCCTCTGTAGCATGGGGCACGGGTCACTTGCTGGAGGATTCTCTGCTCCTTGAAGTCTTTAAAACCGTGATGGGAGGACTTCAATAGCTCAGATATAGGTTAGAGGTTTATTGCAGGAGTGGGTGGGTGAGATACTGTGACCTGCATTGTGCAGGAGGTCAGACTAGATGATCATAATGGTCCCTTCTGACCTTAATATCTACGAATCTCTGAATATTAATACCATAGGCACCAGTTAGGAGCAGCAGATACCTAAACATGCCTTAGTATATGCATACACAAATGCTATAGCTTATTGGCTGCATTATACCAGGATGAAACTGTCAACATCACTGGCAATGTGTAGATTTTTCTGTATATTCAGACTTTTTGCTTGCCCCAGTTCAACATCTAAAGTTTAAGATTTAAGCCACTCAAGGCAAGAACTGGTTTTTCTCTAGCACATTGTCAGCACTCAGTAATATATAAAATATGACTAACAAAGCTAATTCAGTAAAATGTTGCACATTTGTTTTAAAGGGTTCATAACATTGTTTTTATGAGGCAAGCACATATTTTTCACTCCTTACTCTTTATTTAAAAGATTCTCCCTGAAAAAATCCTTGAATAGTATTCAAATTCCTCCTATGATGCTTTCTTAGTACTATTCCATATGGTGGTATTTTACATTAATTTAGAATGAAAAATACTTTAAACAATTTTTTTCATGTTGCTAGTAATTTTAATGACGTGCTTAAACATCCTGCATACATTGAACACTTTTTCATCTAATAATTACCATAAAAATTACCTGATCGTTAATACTACCTGTTTAAAACCTGTGAATAAGCTACTTTATTTCATGAGCACACCTAGTTTTTCATTTTACCTGATTGCTAGTTATTGCTCAAAATCAGCAAAAATTACACGGGTTTCAATGAACTACGAAATGACATATGAACCTTTACAAGTAAAAAAGCATTCATCTGCATAATTTTCTTGTTAATATGCTGATGCAAACTGTACAACTGTTTAGATTGAACCAGAATGGAGTAATTATACATTTAGCTAAAAGTAGGCTTGAAATTGTTGGTTAAAACTGGGCTAATTTATAAATCCAAGACACACCAGATTGAAGTATGTGTTTGCATTTTTCTTTATTAAAGTTATGGCACTTAATATAACAGCAGAAATAACCACAAGGTTTCACAACCAGAAGCAATACAGTTTTCCAAACAGTGTAATTTCTTCCTATTACCAATAATTACTTGTGAGATTTCTGAACATAACAAGCCCTTATTTATGTGCATGAAACTGAAAAAGCCTTTGTCAGATTTCCTCTTTTGGATTACAATGCTGCTGCATGCACAGCACCCCTGTAACATCATGTTATTATCTGTTTGCCTTTACATTCTGTAAGTGAAATTACAGTTTCACTGTGGTAGCAAGTAAACAGTTATGACACTTGTGTCATTGGGAAATGATGAATATTTATGTTTAATGTGGTAGATTTGGAACAAAAAACAAACAAACAAAAATCCTATTTACAAGTTCCCATAATTCCTTACAAATAGCTAACGTTGAGTACATTACATGACATTACCAGAAGTATTACAATTTATAAAAGAAAGTGAACTAAAAATCAAACATCTCTGGTGCCATAGTGAAAGACAAAGTAAAAAGAACATTACATTGCAGCACCTTCTGACATGTAACAAAAGATATTGCCTGCTATATACCAAATAATGGATTCCCAAGTTGTACTATATTTCCAATGTTTGTTTGTGGAAAATATACATACATATATATACAGAAATATGAAACTCAAGCATTCAGACATTTGAGAAACTAGTTTTGGTGTATAGTTTTCAAAATCCCTTCATAAAACTCTGTACATTAATGGTCACCTATCCTAGGCTATCAACATGCAGTTTTCATTAAATAAACAATCACAGGCTTTTAAACAGAAAATGTAAATTAAATACCTAACTATATTACAATTAAGTAAATGCATTCAATGCACTACATGATGTTGTATGTTAAGTTAAGTAATATTAATCAGGATTAAAATACTGTACCACTTCAAAAGTACTGTATTATCCTTTAAATGTTCAGGATGTAATACTGCAGCAAACTGATAATCAGATCCAGCTGATAAGAATACTACTATGAGAAACATCAATATCCATGGAAGATAAAGAATAAAGAAATGCTCTGGAGTGACTCCTCTCCAAAGTTATTTTATGATTTTCATTTAGTAATTTGTCCAGTCTGATGAGTATATTCAAAAGGTGACACCACGTTTTTAGAAGCATAATATTAAATGAAATAAAATCTAAGTTTATATACAAGCTTTATCTAACATACCACTAAGCTTTGGTTACATAAAGTGCAGTTCAATTTTAATCAATGTACTGTACAGACAGCTACTTTTTGCAGCACAATCTCCCTGCAAATTTTTAAATATTCACGTTTTACAGTTTGCTTATACAGTAGACTCAATAAAAAAGTTTTCTTACATTAATTTCAATTCTAAATACTTCAGTACCATCCAATTATGCACACTGTATTTCTAAGCTGTTTGATAAGTGTAACCTCTCAGAAATACAGTAATCTGTACATGTAAATTACATTTGTATCCCATCACATTAAATATCTAGTTCTTGAGAGTACAATTTTCTAACTTTCAAATCTCTCACACTTTTTGTTGTATAAAGTTTTCAAGTTTTATTATGATACAAGCAGCACACTCCATCACTCTCATGGCAACTTCAGAAGTGAACCTGTCATTTGGAATCTGTGGAAAGGGAAGCAAATCAGGGTATCGAGTTTTTAAGCTATCTACTCCATAAGCTTCCAGTGTGTGAACATCATTTGTAAGTCCTTCAAGTTGTTGACTATATTCCTCTATTTTTTGTGCAAGTGCAGTTGGTTTTACATCTTTATCTGATTTACCCCTTACGGCATAGTCAGCTGCAATCAAGGCTAACTTTGTGGAGAGATAGCATTTGAAGCACACCCATTCATTAGCATTTTTATGAAGGTCATTTCTTGCAGCTGAAAAGTTTGCTCGAGCTTGCCTAAGCCATCTACGTGCTTCCACAGGATTACCAACAGACTTGAATGTGGGTGGTACAAAGAAACGTGCAGAGTAAGATGGCCCTGTAGAAGATGGACACTTTTCTTTATACTGTTGCCTTTCAGATTTATGGCTCGTTGCTTCTTGATTCCACGAAGTATAAAATCTTTGAAATGAAAATTTATCTGACTGAAATCGAGATGCTGAAGATGAAAATGTTCGTCTTGATGCTCTGTCTGTATTTTGATCTATAAAGGCCTGTTTTTCTAGTCTGTTAATCTCATTCTGTAAATGTTTGAAAACTTCATTGGCTATATCAAGATTCTCTGAATTTTTATCTGGATGCCACTTAAGATATAGCCTTCTAATAATCTTTTTCCTTTCAGATTCTGGAAGTTTCCAAGCCTGTTCAATCACTGATGTCACTTCTCTTAATATTTCTGGCAAAGAATTCAGCTTAATCTTTTTGGGAGAGTGATGTTTTGAAGATGTTGTTTTGTGGCTCTCTCTACCAGAGAAAAGAGGAGGAACTGTCCTAGGTCCATGTGCTGGAAATTCTGTAGGACTAGTTGGGGTAGATGGTGCACTGTCCCTACTCTGAGAACTTTCATCAGGTCTTGAAAACTTGTATAAATCAAGAGAGCTCACTATTTTATACTCACTATATCCAATATCGATCTGATAAATCTTACCTAGAAAACTGGAATTTTCACCATCTTCCCTTTCTACTTCTTGTACAATGATTGCATATGTATATGTTGGTTGGTATGATCCATATATATCACCACCTTCAGCATCAACAAGGTAACCAACATATTCACCTGGATAAAACACATTCATTGGATCCATAAGGAGAGTGTAATGAATTTCAGCTGGTATAGGAGTTCCAGGCATAGGTAATTCAAGTTTTGATGGTTCTGAGGAGTCATACTTCACTCCTAAACTGTCAAGCTTCTCGCTAATTCTGTAAATATCATTGCAACCCAACATGGCAATTAAATATGAGGTATCAGAAATTAGATTGTCAGTTGCAGATTTCAGGGTCATTGCTAATGCTAAGAGAAAATTTATGTCTTTGCTGTCAGAGTGCTGTATATAAAGCAGTATTACTGCATTCCCAAATCTCTTTAAAAAAGCGAATGTTTCACTTTTACTGTGGGGAATAGGAGTAAAACCTTTAACCCTTAATGTTGTTTGCAACTTCTCAAAACAGGAAACTTTCAAGCCTTCTCGCAAGGTTTTGCACAGTCTTATGGCCTTTTCTTCATTGGCTAGGAAAGCATTGTCATTTTCATGCTTCATAATTCTAATGAGTCCTGTGATAAACTGTTCAGAAGATAATAGTAACTGCAACCGTCCCTGTAGAGAACATAATGCTCCAAACTGACATGTTTTGGGAGACTCTTCATCTAACAGTTCTTCAAGAATACTGCTAAGTAGGCGAGGCCTCAGTTTCTGAGGAAACAGCATTATCAGCTTAGTGTGAAAACCATGATCTTTTCCTAAATAACACTGGCTAAGATCAACAAGCATCTGCACACCAATGTTACCCTGTATTCTACTTTTGTAATGTGGCGCATCATCAAAAACTAAGATACTTGATTTTACCAATCTGCCATCTTGACTGGGAAGGTAAAGGGCCAGATCTCTCACATTCTCAAGGTCATTTCTAACCTTAACAGAATCATTTTGCAGACTTTTAAACAGACCAGAAACAACTCTTTTAACTGTGCGCATTTCATTAGGATCCAATTGTTTTCCTTCAGAGTTCTTGAATATGCGACTTAGAACCTCAACATACTGCTTTGTTGAAATAACATCTTCAGTACCTAAGTGTTTAAATAACTGGTGGAAGGTGCCAAGTTCTAAAGGAAGTTTGTAAAGGTAAGGTTTAAAATCAGATTCATACTCAAGATTTATTACTACCTCCTCAGGCTTCAGGAGCTTCCAACCTTCTTCCACCATCACAAAAGCAACCCCTCGAAGCTGAAAGCGGAATTCCCTTTTCTCTGTACTGAGAAATTCATAGATACTCCTTAGTACCTTAGCTCTAGTTTTCACCATGTCCTCATCTAAAGTTGTTATATTGCATATATTTCTGCAGTTATTGATAACTTTGTCCAGAGGAGGATCCAAGTTAACATTAAGCATAGTTAAAACCTGCTCAAGCTGTTCTTGTGGACCAAGACTGCTTCCTTCCTGTTCCTTGATACTTAAAGGTGTTGCTTTTTCAGGAAGAATAGGACACGAAGTCCACAGCAATTGTAACACATCCGTCTGTTTGAATTTAGGGTTTACTTGTGCTCCACTGAACCTTATAAGAGGGAGTGTTCCATTAACCTCTTGATACTGAGGATGAAATCTGACAATTTCAGCAGGAGCACGCTCGGGGCACAAAAAAGGAATTAAAGATAATTCTTTTAGAAAGTTTCCCAATAATAAATCAGTTCTTTCTTGGAATATGTGATGAAGGAGGACATCAACTGTACTTTGCAGTGTTTCCTTAGACCAGCTTTCTGTGTTAGCTCTCATACTGATCTCCTTAGCAAACTGTAGTAACTGTTGCTGGGAAATAATGTATTTTAGTCCTATATTCCGCAGGAATGTTACCCATGATGTAAGGAATGCCCCTTGATTCTTCGGTTTTGTGAGTTGTTCCAGTCTCTTAAAGAAATCTTGAGGTATGAACAATTTTTCAGGAAGCATAACTTCAAAGACTTTTACAGTTCTGTCATAAAAATGTTTTGCAGGTTTTAGTCTATTGCTTGCATCGTGAATTATCAAAAAGCTTTCCAGCTTTTCAAACAGCTGTTCCTTTATTTCTGAAAATTCCTCAATGCCAGAGAGTCTGTTCTTTAAGTAGATCAGGTGTTCTATCTTTGCATCATAAGACAGACTTTCAACCTTTGGTAAAAGATGCTTCAAATACACTTCAAGATCATCTACAGGGACACAACCAAGCACAGTATACAAGTCTTTCAAGTTAATTTTTTCTTCAAGAAAGGCAGATGAAGTTGACTGTGTCCACCTATCCACTTCAACTGAAGGAATACTTTTTGTGAGTACGTAACATGTTCCACATTTTGAAATACTGATGTATCGACCACTAATGGATTTATAGCATGGGAGAGACTTTAAAATTTTGATGTCATCCTGTGACATCAAATTACTTAAATGGCAACTGAAGTACATTAGGAGGGCCTCAAAATCACTTTCTGCTAATTTTTCAGTCTTAAATGTTGAGGTCTGGACCATATAATGTATGGCTTTCAGAATGCTTGATGGATTATCTATATTTGCTGTATATCCTGACAACAGAGACACTAAAACATTATCTTTGGAGCATATTTTGTTCAAAGCAAGCTGAATACAACCAGTTTTCATTAAAGCATGGAAAACTTTATCACTCTGAGCATTTGGGAAAAAAGCTATATGCATTAAGCTGAGAGGCAACAAGACATCACACTCTGGCACTACAAGCTGATTGACTGAGACAGTAAACTTTGTACCTGGAAGCAAAGCCCAATCTTTCAAAGTATCAACAACATCATCAAATTTTGGTTTCATATCTTCTTGGTCTTCCTTAACATTTACAGATTCACTGATAAAATGCCATGCATTTTTAAGCCAAGATTCACTTGCAAAATTTTCTTTCCATCGCACACAACTTCTGGTTTTATATTCTCTAGGCAACATGGATGATAACAAATCAGCAAAACTTGTGATATCGAAAGCTTTTGCTACATCACAGCTAAGTAAAATATTACTGTATCGCAAATATAGAGTGTTCATAAACAGATCCTTGCGAGATGGAATCAGTTCATGATATGTTGTTAAGAACTTTGGCCGCTTTGAATCAAAAACTTGCAAGACATTGTCAAGTGTAATAAGTAGTGGCAATCCCTCAATTTGGACTTCATTTTCTTCAGCATCCTTAAAGCAATAGTCAACCAGAAGTTTTAGACTGTGAAAGAGTTTCAGATTTGTCTGTTGAAGACGACAAGGCAATTTTCCAATGTGGCAATTGGAGTCTGGAGAAGAAAAGGTCATCAAAAAAAGTCGGACATCAGTAGGAGTCACATAGCTGACAGGAATATCTGCATCTACAAGACAATGGTAAAGATTTGCAGTTTCATCACAGTTATATACCAAATTGAATCCAATTTCTAAAAGTAGGTGTTTGAGTCTATAAACATTTTCTGCCACCGTCTTACGTGTTGTGATGTACTCTACATTTTTGAGGTGGTGCAACTCATCTTGTAGCAAATTGTCAAAGAATGGCCTACCTTTGTTCGAGGTAGACATGTTAACCCAAATAATGATCACTGCAGAATGTAAATCAGAACCATCAATATTTGGAGCCCGCACAACAGGTAAAAGGCGTTTCAAATCTTCATGAATGCAGCTGTAAACTGCTTTCACTAAGCAATACCAATCTGGCTGCAGATCAAGTCTGTTAACTGGGAAGAAAGACAAAAACTTTTTTAAAGTGTCTTTCACAACATGAACAGGTGTGTTTTGCAGTACTGATACTGTAGGATCAGTGCCTGGAAAGTAACGTTTTTTCAGCTGAATCAGTAGTTCAACATAGGCTGGTGCTATTAGTGCTGTCATTAGGCTATTATTCCAGTCACTTCTTACTCCAACTCCATTATCATCCCGCCACAGATTTCTTCTGGCAGAATCTAGAGCAAAATGTCCATTCACATGAAAAGGTAACCCGGTTTCTAACGATAAGGGTAAGAAACAAAATGCCCTATGTGGTTTTTTGTAATTGTGAGTAATGCAAGCAGCTACTCCTCCACGTGGAAAAAGGGTTATGTCTTCATTCTTGTGAGCTGATATAACGCTCTTCGATACCTTTTCCATAGCTGAAAAACCTGACCTGTTGCAAATTAACCAAGATGTAAGGTTCCCTTCAGAGTCTTCAGTATCCATAGTGTAAGTAATTTGTTGCACAGGTATTTCACTTAACTGCTTTTTTTTAGTTACGCTGTCAATTACAGATGCATGGAATTGCTTCCGTTTCAATCTGTCTCCATCAGTGATTTTGCCCTTTACAGAATATAACACATTCAATGCTCCAGTTGTTTTTTCTATTTCACAAATGGAAATTTTTTCCATGTGATTCAAAAACATTAGAAGTTCTGCTCCATCTGTACGCAGCTTATCCAGGAGGTTTTGGACCATTCTATCTGAACATGGAACTGGGGAAATTTCTGACACATTTGCCATTTCTGCATTTCGAAGTGGAAACCTAAACATTGTGCAATTATCCATTTTAAAGTGATTTCCTAAATAAAGGTCCAGTACATCTGAGAATTGTGTTCTGAAATCTGCATCTAAATCTCTAAACATGCGTCCAGGACTTACTGAAGTTGCACCTGGTGCATATCTAGCATGGGGATCAAAGATACAGAGTATATCATTACCAGATATGAAAGAAGGGCAGTCAGTAATGTGATACACAGAGTTGAATCCTATACCATATTGTCCAGTTTTACATGGATTTCCTTCTTTAGTACCTTTTCCAAGGTTCTGAATTCCTCTTATATCATCCTCTGTAAAAGGCTGATTGTTGTAAACACATAGTGCTGGACCTTGAAGTGGTGCCCATTTCTCATCAAATATTCTATCAACTGGATGTTGTCTAGAATCAAACACAAAACAGATTTCCGTAGCTTTTGCATCATCTGCATTCTGAAGGAGCTCTTTCAGCATTTCTTTTTCAGAGGGATAGGCATTAAGAATGCTTTTAATTCTACTTGTCAATTTTTCTTTTTGTCCAAACTCAGTCCCAAGAGTAGTAAAACAGATATTAGAGGCATATCTTTCTAAAGCTTTATGTCGCTTGGGTACTGCACCAAGCTTCACTGCAACTTCTCTAGGGATATCAGCATGACAGTATTTTACAGTTGTATCTTTAACTTTTATCCAAGGACAGTCATTGTAACACAAAGTTTTAGCAGGTAAAAGTGCTAGATGCGTATCTGGTAACAAAATCTCACCATATTTTTTCTCACATAATTCTTGCTTCTTCTCTCTAATGAGACTCCATATTCCTTCACTAATGATTCTCCTACAAAGCTGAAAATTCTCTTCTGTTAGCTGCTTGTTTCCCCTCTCATGATTTACAGACTCAAGAACTAAGGCAAAATCTTCAACTGTAAAAGCATGTCTTACACCTACACTTTCAAATAGTTCACGGAAACTATTTTTATATTTATTAGGCAATTGATGAAGATACGGTGTTGCTTCAAAGTTCAAATGAAAACACACTTTTGTTGGGTTAACATACACACTCTCAACAAGAATGAAACTAAAATTTTTCAACTTTTCAATGATCACTGCTTTTGTTGTTTCATTTTGTAGCATTGCTTCATGGAGGTATTTGTAACAAGCATTGGTGATATTCTCCTGATACAATGTAATTCCATCAAATGACTTCGCAATTTCTTGCAACTGATTTATGACCATGTTAACGGTTGGTTTCTTAAGCAAACCCAAGAAATCTTTGACAGCTAATGATATAGCTCCACAACCTTTAAAGGAATGGGAATTTTCATTAAGAACTGGTTGTAAAAGACAAACAATATCTTGATGATCAGCAGTGAAAAGGTCAGTTGCTGAAAACATTGTTTCAGGCTGAAAGTCACTACCCTTCCAGTGCAATGAGAAGCCGGCTGGTTTTGTGAGGAATGGGAGGAAAGGAATTGTCTGACATTTTGCAGCAAATTCTTTAGCTCTAGGATCTCTACATTTTAATTTTTCATCAATGAGACTTAATATAATGCTGCTTCTGAGACAGGCTGCAACATGATCATTCCTATTAATTGCGGCTACTGATTCTGCACGTTCTATTAGGTCTTCCCATGGAACGTCATCCTTAGCCATACCTAACTGAACAAGTTTAACCAAGATAACTGGATTAAGGTAATCCTGACTGCTGCCATAAGGAAATCTTCCATCTTTAGCATCATACAACTTTGCAACTCTTCCTTCAGGGTGGATCAATCTTGAAGGTATAACCAAAGAATGTTTATCCAAAGAACAAGGAATACAGGGAGTAACACGAAGAATTCCTGAGAACTCCTCAACCTTTTCATTCAGAACATAACGCATCAAAGGATCACGCAGCTCTGCATCAATCTCCTGAATGTTCGGGAAAAAGACTTCAGAAAAGAACTGTCTCTCAGAGAAAGTGTTCTCTAGTAGTATATATTTACATCCTGCTTCTTCGAACCCTGCCTTTATCCAAGATGGAAGCTCCACAGCACAAAGATTTTTTGATCCAGTTTTTTTAAGATATTTGAGGAAGATCTTAAAGGCTGCAGGTCCAATGTCTGGACGTTTCAGTATTGAATCATCTAAAAACCTCACATTCTTCATGGAAACCCAAGATGAACCATCAGAGAACACTTTGATCCCTTCTTTGCCTTTTGCATGAGCTATATCTTCATAAAATCCTTGACATATGACAGAAAAATCATCATGCACTGAGTCAGGATCTGGCCACACTGCATAGTAACTGTAGTCAGCTAGCTCGCCATTGACTGTCATGTCACGTAAAACACGAAGTGCTTCTAAATAGGCTTTTACAATAACATGCCTCATGAATAATGTGTTCCATCTTCCTTTTGTGTCTGTTTTCCAGATCTCTTTTCGATTTGAAGTAACAGCAAAACAGCCATTGATGTGAACAGGTAAACCTGTTTTTATTCGTAGAGGTAAATAGCAGAATACTTCCCCAATGCTATTGCAATTAGGTTTCACAATCCACTTTTGGTCCTGAGTTTCAGACAGCAGTACTCCTACTCCACCACAGGGGACAAGACCTAGTCTTCGTCCATTTTCATGTAATGAAAATTTTAAAGCATCACCAGTATCCATGCAAGAACATATGAGCCAAGTTGTAGAATCTACTGTTTTTTGTGGCAGTTCTTCAGCTGCCCTTTTCATCTGTCCAGATTTAGCCATTTCGAAGAGAGAAGATGGATCATCTTCTGGACCTCTGAAAAGTGGAGACTGTAAATCAGCGATCCGTCTAAATACATGATGAAATTCTTCTACTATTATCTGTAGGATGCATGAAGACTTTGGTGTTTCAGTGGGAAGCTTTCTATTACTGCTGCTGCAAGTCTTCATCAGTTTAGCCGCTTCCTTTAAAACACTTACAACAGGTGCAGTCAATGCTTTGGAGGAACACAGACTTTTTTTAATAGTCACTGTATCTTGTGCTACACCAGGGTCAGCTTCCTCAACTTTCAAATATTTCAGAACCATTGAATTTACACTCTGAGTGAATATTATCAGTCTATGACCACAAATGCTAAACTCATCCACAAGAGAGTAAATGTCTGCTGTATTGTAGCAAGTACTGCTGACTTCACTCATTTTAGCCTCCTGCTGAGTTCTAAAGGAAAGTCTGAAAAGTGTTCCTTTATAACTGTAAGGAGCCTCCACAGTCAATGGTAGCTGACAACCAAACACACCTATAAATGGCTTGAATTGGTTAGGAAATTTTCGCAGCCTTTTCTGTTGCTTACTCCAGTTAATCTTGATCCCAGGATTAGATTTATCTCTAATATGTTTACTGAGATGGTTAATGTTTGGATCAAACATTATCATGAATTCTCGACTCATAAAGATAGGAATATCAGTAATGTGATAAACAGAGTTGAACCCTAGTCCAAATTTCCCGACTTTATCAACTTCTTCTCTTTTTAGAGACTCACCTAATCGAGTTATATTTAGAAAATCTGAGTCAGAAAATTCAGAATTGTTGAATGACCACAAAGCTGGTCCATGACATGCTGCCATTCCTGGATCCAAAAGATTCTCTCTTATATTCATATTTCTTCTCATGTCAATCATGAAATTACATTCTGTTGCATTGGCATCGTCGGCATTTTGAAGTAGCTCTTTAAAGATATCTGAAACAGAAGGGTATTCCTCCAAAATGTTTTTAATTCTTACAGTGAGAGGTTCTCTTTGCCCAGATTGCTCAAATCCCATATTTTCTGGATTAATCAATCTTGTACTGAGGCATGGCACATTTAACCACTCTGCAGTTTTCATGGGTATGTCTTCATGCACCAAAATTATTGGTTCCACAGAATCTTCAAGCAAATCATTTAAGTCATCAACTTTGATATCACAATAACAACATTCATGAATTGGTTTCATTACAAGCTTAAAAGGACATTTGCTACAATATATAGGCACAGGTGTATTCAGACTTGCTGGAATCTGACTGCTGTATAGCCATCTTATAATATTCAGCATAATGTGAAGATTTTGTTTACTCTCCTCTTCACTGAGAGATTGCTCACTCTTTAGATATATTTTCTGAATGACCATGGAAACGTGGTCTGGTGTCAACTGCCCAACTGATCCACAACTTTTAAACAATTGGTGGAATTTAGCCATAGTTTTTGGCACACTATGCAGATAAGGCTGGAGATCAAGATCAGGTACTGACTTTATTACTGCCTGGGTAAGGGAACAAAATGTTTTACCGGTCCAGACCCAGGGAAATTTCAAGGCTTTAAAAGCATCTTTACCTTCTTCTAAGTGATCATGCATAAATCCATAAATTTCAAGCAAGATATGCTGAAATTGGTAATAGTCTTCATCACTAAAGGTTTTAGAACTGTGCCAATCAACCACCACTTTAAAGTGTTTTAAGACTGCTTTTATGCCAGGTTTGGTGGAGATGCCAAGTGCTTTTTCTATATTTAAATGGACACTTTCCACAAAGGGAACTGATGAACCAACTAAAATTGCATGAGCTATATTACACATTTCTGGTGGTGAACAAAAATTACAAAGGTCTCCTTTCCAAACCAATGATCCCGGATAGTTTGGAGGTCTTTCCTTACATGCTGGAATCCATTTTAATTTTTTCAGCATTGATTTTGCTTCAGCTGACTGCAGCAACATATGATTTTTGTTCAAAATCATTAACAGAGTTCTAGCTTTTCTTAATAGTACATCATGGCTTGTGTGAGAATCACCTTGCAAACTTTCAATTTTATTTGCCACTCGCATAATGTCTTTTTCTTCAAGACCGCTTTCATTTTTTAAACCTATTTGTCTCAGAGAATGAAGAATATCTGAAGATGCTGTAAAAATACTAGGTGGGAAGCAGATTTCCTCCTCAGCATAAAACAGATTTTGCAGTACTTCTACCTCAGGATCAAAAAGTTCATTGGCTGACACTATCTTTCCTTGTGAAATCTGAATAAATTTTAGTGATGTCAGCCAATCTAGCACATCTGTATTCTCATTTTTGAGGAAAGTGAGATTTTCAAGAACCCAGAGCATAATCTGTATTGTTTCATCATAAGAATAAAAGTCATTTTGAATATCTTGTATAATAAACTTTAGACAATCTGTGCTCTTTAACTGTTCTACTTTTAATAAGTTAGCTAAACGAATGGTAGCTTCATCACTGCTGTCAATTATTGGAATAGAAAGTCTCAGACTAGGTGGAAGTTTGGCAGTGTGATGCAACACTTTACAACCTTTTAATCCAGTAAAAACAGTGACCCCTTCATCAGATGATTGTTCAATTCTTTTAAATATCAGTAGCTCCTGAATAATTCTTCTCTCTTTTTCACTGACATCAGTTAAACTAGCTAAGAATCCCCTAAGGGCATCTTTATGTGCTGGAGGTAATGATGAAACTTGACTGGACAGTTTTTGCCATGACAGTTTCTCCATTATCTGCAAAACAGCACCTGGTAATGGTGGATGCACATATTTTTTTAAAAGTGGATGTTGTATAGAAGCATCTAGCTTCTTAAGTACAACACCACCACCAAGTTTTTGAATGATGTCAGCTAAAAATCCTGGAAGCTGTGTCTCAGATTCATCTTCTAAAATAATTGCAGGTGGAGTCCTAAGTCTAATAAGTTCCACTAATACCTGGTCTTCCTCTAGCGGCATCTTCGGGATAAGTGGCATGTCATCAAACATAGTCAAGTCTTCAGAAAAGTGTATATATAGATTCTTCCAGACCATCTTAAGCCATGGAATAGATGGGTGATTTTTATCTTCTGAACCTGGATACCATTGTACCACCATATCTCTGCCAGGCCACAAGGTGTTCAGAACTTCTTTGATAAGCCGGGCAAATCGTTCAGGGTTCAGAAGCTGCAGTTGAGTGCATGGTCTTCCTGAAATTGAAATAAAACAATAACTCCATGAAAATCAAGCAAAACAGGAGAAATACTTTTTTTTCTGTAACTTTTTTCATAAAGGAAACAGAAAAAACAGGACAGGAAACTTCCCAATTTCTATACTTGTTCACAAAGATGATTTCAGACCGGAACTCAAATGTCTCATCTCACTTTGCTGAGTTGATTAAAATCAAGTCCATTATATATTAGTACAAGAAATAATTACCAGATTGCAACTGATCAGTATGTTAGTTTTGCACAAAGTCTTTGGGCACACAAAAAGAGCTGCAGAGTTAATTTTCAATATATAAAATACAGCTATGCATGTAGGGATTGTCCTTTATGCTTGCTTAAACTCAAACAGAAAGGCTCAGAAAAATGATTATTTGGGGCTATTTTTTTTTGGCATTATCCATTCAATTAACAGTTACTTATTTTTAGAAACAATGTGAAGTGTAACCTATTGGTTAGAGCAAACAGCAGGACCATCCTAGGTACTAGCCTAAGCTTCAGTCAATCTTCAGTCAGTAAAAAAAAAACTTGGTTGCAACAAAACTACTATATAGCAAATGCTGAATCTAAGGTTAAAAATATGTGTGTGTGTGTGTAAAAACGTCTACTATAAATCAGTCTTTACTGACAATAATATATTTTGAAATATACATTGGTATTCTAAATAAATAGATCATAGTTAAACCCTACAACACTTCTGTGAGATAGATAAATGGGTAAACTGAAGCACAGGGAAATTAATCAATTTCCCATGATGGCACTGCAAGACAGTGGCAGAACAAATAGGAGAACCCACCAATGTTGAATTTCAGACCCCTACTCTAATTACTTAACAAAACTCTTTCCCTAAAAGCAGTAGTCCAATTATAGCAAAACAGCTGTGGGGACATGGCTTTGACAGCACAAAAATTAGAACATCAACTCCAGTAACAGATTATCATGAAAGCATTTTACTTTTCTCCCACATATATATAATAAACTACATTAATCCTTGTACTCTAAAACCAAATATGAAATGTGTGACAGACAATTTTGTAATAATTACATACAAATATAATGCATCATGTATTTCTGCAACATAATATACATTCATATGCAGTGATCAATATTGGTTTTATCAAAAAGTCATTTTATATAATATAGATGTCCAAAATAAGGAAAAAGAACATTAAAAAGGAAACATGAAGTGGCAAGTTACATGGAAAAGTTACATAGGCAATTTTAATGTTTATTACTATTAGCAGTTTGTTTACATGGTTAAAGCAGGAGACTGTTTCAGTTCTGGCTCTGCCACTAACTTGCTCTGTATCCATGGGCTAGTCACTTAGCCTCTCTGTTCCTAGCTTTGCAAAGCACTTTAAGACCTTTGGATGAAAGGTGCTATATAAGTGCAAAGTATTACTGTAGCATACTAAGTAGATGGTGATCGTGAAATAAAAGGAGAATAGGGTGAACAACTGTAATATGTATTTTTCTTAAAATAACGTGCCGTATAGTAACAATTTTTTAAACTTTTTAAAAACTATTTGATAGAAATCAGCCTTCTACATAGTAAATCCAGATGTTTTTAAAATCCTTTAAAAGTTTCTTATTTAGATCTTTTGAATATTGGTGTTTACAGGCAAAAAGAAAAGGAGTATTTGTGGCACCTTAGAGACTAACAAATTTATTTGAGCATAAGCTTTCGTGAGCTACAGCTCACTTCATCGGATGCATTCAGTGGAAAATACAGTGAAGAGATTTATATACACACAGAACATGAAAAAATGGGTGTTATCATATACACTGTAAGGAGAGTGATCACTTAAGATGAGCTATTACCAGCAGGAGAGCGGGGGGGGGGGGGGGAAGAAAACCTTTCGTAGTGATAATCAAGGTGGGCCATTTCCAGCAGTTAACAAGAATGTTATAGGGGTTTTCTCAGAAAGGGAGAAACTATCTGCACAAACATAAGAAAAAATTTGTTAACTTCTTTCCATTTCATCAATCTTATATGTTACCTATAACTACAGAAAGTACAAAGCCGGTGAGGCAATATTTTTATTAGACCAATTTCTGTTGTGAGAAAGACAAGCTTTCAAGTTTACACAGGCTCTACATAGCAATGTACACATAGCGAGACTCAAGTCAGCTGACCTGTGTCAGGGAAACCTGAGCTTGAGCATCTACATTGCACTGTAACCTAGGTTAAGAATTTTCTGACTGGTGCTCGAACCTAGGGCTCTGGCATCCAGACTCTGAGTCAAACTACAGATCCGAGTCAAAGTAACCGTATCCCAAAGCGCCTAGTGCACCGCCCTCCACAACGCTGATTCTAGCCCTAGGAATGTGTCGCACTGTAGGAAAACTCTGCTGATCACCCTGCACATTACAGGAAATTTGAACTGTCTGCCAACAAATCCTGCCGAGCAATCATTTTGTTCTGCGTACTTCCAGCTACCAGAGCCAGCAACAAGGAAGAGGCACCTTTGGATGAACTTCTCTTGGTTGCACTTTCACGCATGTATCAGGAAGCTGGCAGAGCATCTATAAGATGCTGGTGGACATTTTGGCAATGTTTTCTGTCCCACCAAAGGTACCTCACTGACTTCCTGATGGAGCTGCAGGAGGAGGAGCACCCTGGCATCACAGACTCTCAGTGGCAAATGCTGCTCAGTACAACTAGCACTGCTTCTGGTGTATGGCCACAAGGACTGGCTGGTGGGACCAGATAGTCATGCAGAGCTGCGATGAGAAGCAGCAGATCCAGAACTTTTGCATGACAAAAGCAACATTTCTGGAGCTTTGTGAGCTTCTTAAACGCCCCCTCCCCGGACACACCCTCCAGCATAAAGAGATACACAAAGTCATCCTTGCCAGTCCAGAAGCAGGTTGCTATAACTGTGTGGAAGCTGGCTACCCAAGATTGCTACAGGTCTATTGCCAACTGGTTTGGGGTTGGAAAGCTGACTATGGGTAAAGTGGTGGCAGAGGCATGAGGTTTACCCCAAGGTGGCAGGCACTAAAGATATTCCAGAGGTAACTGATGGCTTTGAGAGAGTGGGGTTTCGTAACTGTGGCAGTGCTAATGATGGGACTCATGTGCCCACAGTACGCCCTTCTCGAGGATCACCTGAGTATATAAACTGCGCAGGGTACTACTCCACTGTTATGCAGGCACTAGTGAACCACAGAGCGAGATTTATGAATGTCAATGTGGGCTGTACAGGAAAAGTTCACGATGCCGAAATTTTTCACAGCTCGGGAGTCTACATTCTTGGGACAGGCTGGGACACTATTCCTACTAATCCTACTAAATGACACTAACATAAATGATGTTACTGTACACACTGTTATTCTGGGGGACCCCCACATAACCTCTTATGCCTTGGCTTATGAAACCATATCCTGATTTCCGAGGCCCTGGCAAATAAAGGTTTAATTATACTCAAAGAAGCTGTAAAATCGTAGTTGAATGTGCTTTTGGCAGATTAAAATCAAGTTGGAGGTGTTTACAAACCCATTTAGATGCCAATATAATTAATGTGGTCTGCATTACTGTGACTTGCTGTGCTCTTCACAACCTAGAGGCCAGAGGTGAGCCATTTTCCCTTGAATGGATCTATGACAGCGAGGGAACGCGGGATTGGTACCCTCAGCCAGAAAGTGCAGCCACACTTGTGGGAGCTGGTTGCACCTGTGCTGCAGAAGTAAGAGATACTTTGTGTGCATTCACATTATTGACTTGCATGGCCCCATGGAAGAGGGGGAATAGTACCTGTACAAATGTGCTTAGTGGGCGATTGGAGCTGGCTCATTTTTGGCAGGGGGCAGTGCATGGGAGGGGTGTGGGTTTAATTGCTATGTAATGTAAGTCAGATGACATGATAAAAAATAAATTTGTGTTAGGGGACCAGCAAATAGAGGAATACTGTTTGCTTTGCAATGCTTAACTACTCCTTAATATGTTTTTACCTTTATCTCAGATCCTGTGTGTATGATATGATGCACTGAACAGCAATAAACTTTCTTGAAAATATAACATTCTTTATTTGTAAACAGATCAGAAAACAGTAAACCACTCACACAGTGTTGGGCAGGCCAGCTGCCATTACAACACCAAACACCCCCCAATAAAGAACAGGAAATATAATACCTAACACAATCCCCCTACCACTGCATGTCCCTTGGCCCCAGATCCTCCTTCCCCTTCTTTACATGTTTAGCCCTCACTTTGTGGCAGGTGAGGGAGGTGGAGGTTTCCACCAAAGAGGAAGGAAGGCCCCACAGGGTTTAGTTGCCAGCCCAGCTGCTCACCAGTACTGAATGTATGGGCTCCCCAATATGGAGTTGTGCAAGCTACTGCCGGGCTGAAGGTATGTTGCTGGGGCATCAGGACATGCTGTGGGAGAGGCAGCAGGAGCCAGTGATCTTGCAGCCATTAAGATAGCAGTTGCTGGAACAGTTGTCTTTGTTGGGCTCTGTCCTCCTCCCTTAGCCACCGTTTCTGTTCCAGGAACTGCTGTGCAAGCGTCTGCTCCATTGCTGAAACATTCGCCTCCAGCTGGGCAGCGAGCCTCAACCTTGCCTCCTGCCTGTCAGCCTGCCATTGTTCTGTCTTTCATCCCTCTTCTTCTGGTACTGGAACTGCTGCTCTGCCCTCTCAAGAACAACAACCATGTGTACTTCATTTGGGGGGTGGGATAGCTCAGTGGTTTGAGCATTGGCCTGCTAAACCCAGGGTTGTGAGCTCAACCCTTGAGGGGGCTGTTAAGTTGATCTGGGGCAAAAAATGGGGATTGGTCCTGCTTTGAGCAGGGGGTTGGACTAGATGATCTCCTGAGGTCCCTTCCAACCCTGTAATTCTGTTAAAAGCTTTCTTTTGGAATGTGTGTTCTTTTGGAATCCTGAGAGTATGCTGAGCCAGGGATCAAGTTCCGGAAAAACAGCAGGTAGTATAGGTTATGGGCCTTAAATATTATAAGAAACAGAGGGTTATTGTTGAA